GGTACTTGGCTTGCTGCGATTGCTGTATACGGCTGTTGCAAAACTGTAGGGCACAGTCTGCATGTACATTGGGTTTCCGTAGCAGCAGGAATTGCGTCTTGGATGGGTTCAGCTGTAGTCCACGGGCCTCCAGAAAGCTGCTCACACGGGTCAGGTCATGTTCCAAGGTCTGTGTGGCAGTGGAAGGGGACGGGTCGGCAGCGTAGATGTTGGTGTCATCTGCATACAGGAGGCAGAGGGATGACTGTAGGCAGGCTGGTAGGTGCCTGCATTTAGGCGGGGTCCAAGCTTTGGATCCCGCCTAAAATTCAATTCACCTCATGAATATAGTACTCATAGTTGCATGCGCACTTCATTCATGACACATGACACACATACACCTTGTGCAATTATTGCATGACCGTATTACCGTAGCATTTCCCAATGCCCTTGGGGCCCCTAGCGTTTTGGCGGCCCACATGTGTCAATACATTTTCTACCCACCTAGTGGGAGCATAAAATTGTGTTTCGTTCCACTTTACTCTTCACTCTGATGATCTACACCTAGTAGTGAAACCGGTCAGCCAAAAGTAAACTTTCAAAGAATGTCACACTTGTTTGTGTAGTTTGTGTCGGGGGTATCACTTCATTAAGACCTAGGGGTAACTGTGACCCAGTGTTCAGTGTAGGATCGCTAACTTGAGCCGCAAATACTGCACTTAGGGCCGGAACGTCTACAGGTAGAGTCGTCGGTTGTTGCTTCCGACCTAAGAGGTGGTTCAGTACCTGCCACTGAGGTCGAGGGTTGAACCGACTCAAGAAAAATCTGTTGGTGAAGTACTCAGTTTGCAGTCTGCGCTGTAGAATTTGACACTCTCGTCGAGCAGCTCGGAAACATTGGCGAGCACTGTCACTGTCGCGATCCCGGAGCCACCGGCTGTGTAAGTACGCTTTCCGCTGATATAAACTTTGGAGGCCAGGCGTGACCCAGGGTTGTGGTGGTGGATGAGATGACAAGGTGACGCTACGTCGAGGGCAGTACTGATCAACAGTTTGTAGAACAGCATCGCTCCATACAGTGCTAAGTTGGTCTACTGACATGTCACTGCAGTCCGCGGCTCTGAGAGATTGAAGGAAGTCCGGGCCAAACTCCTCAGCAGTAAGTTGTCTGACCGGCGGCGAGCGAATCTTGCGGTGATTGAGCAAGACACGGTGCGGTTGACTGCCAGCGAGTGCAAGGATGAGCGACACCAGGAAATGATCTGAAACGCCGTCTAGCGACTGGACAGCTACTGGTTTGAGTGTTACTTCCCGAATTATGCTATTTTAAGGCGGCATAATATGATAACTTTTAGCATAAAAATAGCATAATTCGGGAATTTTTTCAGCAATGCGAAAAGCATAATTTCACGAAAATATTAGCATAATCTGTCAAGGCCTAGCACCGGCGGATTATGCCAGCATAATTATTGGCATAATTATTTTGATGGTTGAACATTTGGAGGATAATTTGGCATCCTTTCGGAGGTAGGAGCATAACTACATGATTGTGCCACAGTTCTAGTATAATAGGCTACACTATTGTGTAGATCTACATGACCATTGTACAATGCACCTGATCAGCTCTGGTGGGCTGCATGGTGAAGGGTTCGGAGGTCATGCAGATAGTGTTTTCAATGAAAAGCAGGGTAGAAATCATGGCAATACATTATTGTATGCTTGAACTCGTCTTCTTCAAAGTAACTCTTTCTCAGACTGATACAGTACATGTAGCAGAAGATGCGAGTGAACTCAGCCTTTATCAGGTATCCCGGGGCGGACGAGATAGTGATGGGTAGTCCGCAAAACTCTGCGTACACGATTATCAATATGCATGATACGAAGTCATGACCTCTGGATTTTAGCAGCCATGACTGTGCAGGCTATGAATATTGCTCTAATAATAATTTGATAACCGCAATCAGTAATACAAGCTGGATCGACATTTGTGTACACTGTATTCATGTATTGTAAAACTGTGGAGACAATGTGCAATAAAACGATGAAAAATGCGAAGAAATTGTGTAGAGAAAGAAAGGGATTCAAACAAGTTTTCGTACAACACTCATCAGGAATCGTCGTTGTACTAAAGGACACTGAAACAAAAATTGAACTATTATAGAAAATCTAAGTTAGAGAAATAACACTAAGAGCAACAACAGTGAAATTTACAAGTGTGATTACTGATTGCGGTTATCAAATTGTTGTCTCCTCGCCGTTTGTTCTAATAATAATAATAATAATAAATTGAGGTTTAGTTGATGTTCGATCATGATGGAAGGAGAGCTAGAGGTGGAGGTACGGGAGAGATGAGCTGATTATTCGCAGGGCGAGATTGACATCGGTTGTACGAGTATGACGATTACGAAGACAGTTAAACGCGATAATTTTCAGAGGTAACTCAAACTAATTTGGTAATGAAAAATCGTTTTACAAAAGAAGTCTTCTATCGATTTCATTCTCACCAAATATAACCTGTATACTTTCTCTTGCCGTGTAAACTTGAAGCTGTTTGTGTTTGTTTTTAGGTGTCTATCTCGTTGCACCAGTCCTCTTTTAAGCACGATATTTACCCCCCGCTCTGCATCATGCCGCACAAATGCTGCTACCCGCGGTCAAGTTTCAGCTGCTCTGAACCTACCCAGAGCTACGTCTCGTTACGGTCTGAATGTATTTCATTTTTGGCAGCAGACAGATGGAACATGCTTCCACCTGAATGTCGTCAAGCTAAGCCCTTTCTGCATTTGTCACAAGCACCAAGTCATTCCTAGGGTTCCCAGTAAAAAGGCAACTCCTGTTGGGAGTTCCCTAGTAAAATAATAAATTCTACTACTACTACTAGTACTACTACTAAGTCAACTAATGAATACTCAGAATAGAAGACGTAATGTTTTCTCTTTTCCATGTTGATCGATCTCTAGCATGCATGGACACTTTGGTATGGGGATACTCATGCATTTTGTTTTACTTATGGCCACTTGCAAGTATGAAAAACGCAGAAATTCCGAAGTTTGAGGCTCCCTAAGTACAACAAAGTGAATATGTATCCCCGCGTGCCAAAGCATAATATGAGGATTTTGCGAGCATAATGCGAGAATCCATGAAAGCACAATTCCATGATTTCGCGAGCATAATCCGCCGCAGCTAAGGTGCAACACACTTTCCACGATCTACAAAATTTGCCGGAGAACACAGTTTCAAGAAGGAAATCCTGCCCGGCAAGTGTTGGAGGATGATGTTCTGTTTTGGAAATGGCTCCATAGCTTTATCACCACCGTTATCCGCTTGCTCCCTCGACTCTGATCCTGTATCGGACTCATCGAGAAGCCGAGGCAATTCATTTTTCATTCATCTTTATCTGGAGCATATAACTACGTGTCTCTGTATTCAGTCACTTCTAATTCCTCGCCCACAATGATCCAGTCACTCTCCTCGCATTCATCCCCATACTCCTGCCCAGAAATTTATCAAAATCAAATGAAATGCTTTATCGACAGCGACACTACGCCTGCGGACCATGACTTCCGCCAGACCAACCTAAACTCCAAGAACGTTCCAAGAATATTATAACTGTGCTGGCACTTCATATCGTTCTATGCTGCAGGTGATATAGTGGATCAATTTCCAAACTTCGGGTTGTTGGTCACGTGGGTCTCCCCGAGAGAGAGGAGAGAGACGCAAAAGGAAACTCGTAAAGATGACTCAATTGGCTATTTGACCGCCCAACGGCCGACACCCCCTAAAATCCGCAAAACTTTGTGTTGACTTGGAAATTATCCCACTGATGGGCTCACCAGAGTCACCACTCGGTACGACACAGTAAGTGGGCGAGGACAAGGTGCAGAAAAAGGATTGACGGCATCACGGTATCCGTCCCGGGATCCAACTGCATTTACATCTGCCCCCAGTGAAGATACTACATGCTACTAGTGTGGGTGGCTGAATCAGAGTGGATCTGATACAAGCTTCACTAGTACCATGATTACACAAGTTAGTCTAGCCAGAAGTAGTCCATGGTGAACAGGTATGTATACCGTAGTGTCTTGTATTAAAGCCTGTCTCATGTAGAAACCGGCTTTACAAGCCTGATTTTCAAGATACACTGTCGTCACATAAGCCTGGTTTTAGTGCTGACACACATAGAAATACCTGGTTTTAATAGAAGCCTGATGTGAATATAAGCCTATCCCTGACAGCGGATTCTACAGGAATATGCCCGGCTTTAATACGCGACATTACGGTACTTCAAATAGAAAGTATATGAACCCTGAAACCAACAAAGGTGGCAGGTACAACATTATACCTTCAAACAGCCGAGCCCGCTGGCAACAGACACAACACTATCTGGCACAAGTGTACCCACCAGCCGAACTAGCTGGCACACGCACACACGCACGCACGCGCACACACACGCACACACACACACACACACACACACACACACACACACACTGCCCGTAACACTAAACAGAAGGATGCTCCTTATGAGTACAAGTTCTGATTTCCTTCTCACGGCCACAGCTCGGTGTGAGTCTTTTCGAATTCTTCAGAATAATTGGAAAAGAATTTATAAGCAATATTCTTTATTGTTCCTAGGCTTGGCGCTCGAAGCAGTTGGGAACTTCAGATACATTGTACGGCGAACTTGATAACTCAAAGCATTTTGCTGTGGAATTCATACTAACACAGATAATTATGACACTTTAAAAAAAGTTGCTGTGTCATCATCTATGTGCCATGCACTACTTGATGTACCAGCCTGCTATGCCGGATACCGCCAGCCATGCATCGACCAGGCGCCAGGCGCGAACTGATGGTGGTGGTGGTGAGAAGGAGAGCTCTGTGCAAGAACTTTGCAGCCTAGAAAGCGTGTGTGGGCAGGCGTGTGTTTACCGCCATATTGCCAGGTGTGTCTTTACCACCATATTTATCAACTTTAAAAAAAGGAAAAAAAAGGTTCCCATTCATTCTGCAAGCTCGAACTCGTTTCTTAATCAATTTTTCCTATGAATGAATGAATGAATGAAGCTGCAGGAAGCTTGACCACTGCTACTTGAAAAAGGGGACTCGTGACGGTATGATGTGGTGGCCAATGTTGCCTGGCTTGTATGCACACTAGCTGTATGATTATTGGTTAGATACAGTTATCAAGCATTCAAATCCAACGCAATAACTGATGTTCAAGAAGTCAAGACCAATGACTACTACATTGCATGAGATTGATGTGGTGCAGACTGATCTGGTTTTGGCCATGCACATTGTGGAAACTAAACTATGTGGGCCAAGAAAAGACCGGCTTTGCGTGGATTATTAGTAAGTAATAGTGTGTGGACAGTAATATAAAGCACGTGAGAAATGCTCTAGATTATTGCATGGATCGGTTGTGAACAGCACTTCGTCATGGACTATACAGATCTTTTCTCGCCACTTCTTTCTTCTCAATTGGGGTTGCGAGATGAGCTGAACAGGGTTGCTTCAGGCGTCTTTGCCCGACTCCGGCTGCTGCGCGTCCGCTGCTCCACTGGTGATATCCGTGCGAATTGTGGTGACCTGGGACATAACAATAGTGGAGTCATTCATGTGTTGCTCCGACTGAGCAGAAATGAATAGAGGGCACATCACATCACAGAACATCACATCTTGTACCATGATATTCTTCGGGAGGTTCTAGTAAACGTAGATCTCAAATTCAAAATCAGATGTAGTGTTTGGGGCACTTTGTGCTCTGACTTTCCAATGTGTTATCCTTTAGCAAGCATTAGATGTATAGTGGAACATGGGTTTTAAATCCAGCGACAAGACCGTCATGCAATCAAGAGTACATGCGAGTCGTACATCACATCAGCAATGGTAATCCAGTGTATTGTGCTATTACATAAGTTTACATGTTGGAAGATGGACTGCATGTTACAATTCGGAGGACACACTCATGGTGTTGAGAACAGTGCTCCTGACAACAGCAACAAACCGGGTGGTAGAGTCCCGGTCTTGCGACCATCTGAACCGCATGGGATCAAGCCCGGTTCGAACTCTCGGTCTTCTAGGGTGTGGGGGAAATGAGAGGTCTGGAGACTGTAAAGTATTAATTTGTTTGCTTCTTGGTGTATGTGCGTCCTGTGAAATGTTCTCCATTAAAGCCATTATTCACTTGGTTTGTATTCTTGTCTGCGTTGTTCCTGATTTGTTGTTGTTTTTGATATTTCTTTTTTCGTTTCTGTTTGTTCTTTTTTGTTTTTTTCTTTCCTTCCAACTTCTAAAAAAGAAACACCAAAACAACAATAAACCAGGCCTAACTCCAGCTCCGCATTAATGCTAAATGCCAGCATGTCAGTGCTACATACATGTATGTTAACCTACCAATCAAGGCTTGCATATACCACAAATGTACATGTAATACTAATACTGTAATAGACACACACACACAGTCTGTACTGAGTATACTCACAGTTGGGTGCATTGCAGCATATTCTGGGTCGTCTTGGCCAGCACACGCACTAGCACTAGAAGCTTCCAAGTCGGCATAGGTGGCTGCGGCCGCGGGTACAGTGGACGCACCACCGTTTGCCGTGCTCGACTGGTCCGTGCTGGTGGATGTGCTGGCATTCTGCAGCTGAGTCCTGCGCTGGATGGTGGTCTGTATGGTGAGACGATCTGGTGCACGCCTGGCGCATGACATATCCATGTACTCCTCGGTCGACTCTTCCAGCTTCCACCTGTAACTGCCCTGCAAGCCATCAGCCGATGATTCCTCCAGGACGCTTGGCATTTCGCCGACTGGCGCTGGCCGCTTGTACTTGACAGGAGCTTGGCAGTACTCGTTCTGCGGGCGGCTGGTCTGCGTACTGGCTGGCAGCGCAACCACCTGTGGGACAGGACAGGCTGGTAGTGGCCGCTGGATTGATGTTGTTGAGCAGCTGCTAGTGTGTAGCATTGATGTGGAGCTGGTGTTATCCTGGCCACTGCCACGGGCTGTATCATACTGTATGGATTGATAAGGTGATGCTGACAACACGGTGGTTGTGGACTGAAGACTGATCTCTGCAGCGGTGGTTGAGAGAAGAAGAAAAAACCCGAAGTCGTTGGAATGAGACTGAGTGTTGGTACTGATCATGTATTTCAAATTTCAAACAAGCACACTTTTCAGTGCAAGGCTACCTCGTGGACATTAAAATACTGCACGTGTTGTCATGAAGCGCTAGTAAGAGGCTGGAATGCAAATATTTTCACAGCTGAATGCATATGGTCAGAATGCGTGGATGCTTGCTTCGATCATCAGGATGTGAAGGAATCCAATATCCAGCGAAACCTTGCTTCGCTGTACAGTGAAACCTGTCCAGGCGACCACTCTGAAAATGCGACCACTCTGAAAATGCGACCACCTGCCCTAGAGGACCACTGACCAAGGTATTTCAGTTCCAGTCAAAAGACCCTGGATAAGGAGACCATCTACACACAAGGACCACTTTCTGAAGGCCCTTTAAGCGTTCAGCCTAGACTGCTTTCACTGTATTTTAACAAGTACTCAAGCTACCCTGAAACCCAGGTAACAAGTACTCAAGCTACCCTGAAACCCAGGTAACAAGTACTCAAGCTACCCTCAAACCCAGGTAACAAGTACTCAAGCTACCCTCAAACCCAGGTAACAAGTACTCAAGCTACCCTCAAACCCAGGTAACAAGTACTCAAGCTACCCTGAAACCCAGGCGCGTGTTTGCCAGAAATACCTGCAAAGACAAGAAGCGGAAGAGAGATCATGCCGGACCTACCAGACCTCCTCGAGGCCATCCTCTGTACCATTCTCTTCCTCTTCTGGCGTCTCTTCCACATGAAGCGCACAAAGCCACTCGTCACAATCACGACAACAATCAGCAGCACCAGTGCCGCAGCGCTGATCACGTATATCACAAGTTCGGACAGCGGCACGGATGGATCATCTTCGGCTGGCTCCCTGTCCCTGGCAGGCGTTGTGGCGGAGACTCTGATGCCAGTAGAGATACTAATAGTACTACTCCGGATGTTGGGCGATGTGGCTTGACTGGATTCCATGTTTGTGTTAGAGAGGGGTGAGGTGTGAGTATCTCGTTCTGATGTTGATAACCGGCACACAGAGTAGAGACACATTGGTGATCAGACCCGTTCAAGTGAATTTTAACTGACCATACAGACAACATCAATAAGCACCTGGCACCTTATTCTCTCTTGGTAGCATCAAGAGTAAATGAGCTTGTGTACGTTTGGTAGTAATCCACATGCTAGGGTCAAAATATCTTGAGATAAGAATCTCGCCCAGGCTCCGAGAGACTACGGTAGTGGCCAAAACGTAGAGATGCCAAAGAACACCAGCCCCAAAACCCCAGGCTCCATGAAGCCTTGATGATGAAGATGCAATTACATCACTGTATGGTGTGACCCTGCCACATAATACGGACACCTGAATTCTAAAAAGAAAACCAACAGAAGCAAAGAGTGCTGCAACACAAAGAACATGGATCCACCTGCAGTGGCTAGTGAATGATCACATAGCAGGCAACATCAATCGCCAGCTCAGGGTTCTACTAACATGACAATAGCGATCTGTACTTGTCAGCCTTCACACTGAACACGCCGACAGTTACTAAGCCAAAATGTTGGTCTCACAAGTGAAATCACATCCATTTGCAGTGCACTTTGCAGTGAAATCCCATCCATTTAGTAGTAGCAGTAGTAGTATTTGCTATTTTACTTGGGTATACCCAACAGGCCTATGGCCTTCTTACAGGGTGCCCAAGGAGAAATTGTGAGCAGCTAGCGCGAAAAGCAGGCAAAGTACGCTGGGATCGAATGATAGCGGGTAGTGCATTAACGCGGTCAGCACCAAGAAATGAGAGACTGTAGAGGCCTGGACGGGACATGAATGGGGGAGAAAGAGACTACTGGATGTTTGGCATTTGCAGTGCACTGTGCAGTGAAATCACATCCATTTGCAGTGCACTGTGCAGTGCTGGGGCAAAGGGCATACCCGCTCGCCATCACTACTCACTGACCTACTTTTATAACATTGTAATGTACTCTTTGGCTTCAGTCATCCATCACAAGCGACCAGTTACTGAGGGCAGGTGCCAAAAACCGTAGCTACCGCACTGTTTCTTTTCTTGCCACAGGATGTGCGCACTCCGAGCTCCACGGCATATGCACTCTGGTCGACGTCCTTCACCACACAAGCAGTAGAACTCCATGCTCTAGTTGATACTGATGCCTCCTTACAGCCGTTTCCATCATACAACATCTCATCGGTGAGCGGCGCAGAAAACTGAATGGCTTGAAATCCCCCTGAATGTCAAGCACTTTTCCTCAGTGTCTACTTATAAACCTTACGTTTTCCTCCCTATTGTAAACATTCTGCCTAAGTGATGTCATCAGAGTATTCAAAATATTGTGTCCACTCAACTGGATTCTGGCTCAAGGTTACGTTGGCCATTTAAAGCAAATTTAAGCAAAGGAATATTGGTGTTAAGTCTGGTTGCCCTTCTTACCTACTGTTGGCACTGCTGCTGGCATTGTTGTTGGCACTGCTGTTGGAGGTGCTGTTGGCGGTGCTGTTGGAGGTGTTCCTTGCTTGACAGTCACATTGAACGAGTGCAGCAGTGTCTGCTCCACGTACGAGTGAGTGTTATGCTGATTGAGATAGTTCACTGTTAAGTGATAGGTGCCAGAGTCGCGGCTTGCATTCGGGGAACTGAAGCACACATTGGCCACATCTTGCTGCTGTGACACCATCCGATACGTGCCCAGCGAAGCCCACTGGTCACCGTTGGCAATGAGAGTTTCGTTTCTAAAGAGACGCACCACCCTGTCCTTGATGGGCACCTGTGTACTGTGCGGCAGTGCAACTGTAAAGTTCACGCAATGGCGGAAACTGTGATAGAGTGTGATGGAACTGTATCCAATCAGAGTTGCATTCACATTAAGACCTTTGACGTTGCTGTTCTTCCAAACGAGTAGAGTGGCTTGCGCTTCTGCAGCAGACATATTACAGAAAGGTTTCACAGTTATATCAAATGTTGAACAGTCACGAGTTGGATGAAAACTACACCATGCATACGTTACTTGATTTGAGAATAGCGTGTGTAGGGCTTTCCATGTAATGAAGTGGCTGCAGTGGAGCTTGCGTACCGTAAGTAATGTACACGTTATGTCTATCGATGGTTTAAGCATCGCTGGTTGATAGTGAAGATCCCTCAGGTTTCAAGTCCACTTGCTACCCAGTGCTAGCCCTTGGCGGACAATGGTCGAAAAGCAGTGAAATTTGGCAAAGCCATACAAAGCTTATGGCGGGAAGTTCCTTGAATTCTGCTGCTCTGCTTCATCCATACGCCAAACATGCATGAAACATACCAGAAATGGAGTAACGTATTCTGCCGGTGTTCTGCCTGCATTATCAAACTCTGGTTCGTACTTCAAAGTACATGAGTCAGCTTTGTGTGCTTTGTTCCTTAGTACAACGAAGATTCCTGATGAATGCTGTGCAAAACTTGTTCGAATCCTTCTCCGTTGTTTTTCTTCACTATTTCCTCCTTGTCATTCACTAAATTGTTGACACCGTTTCCACCTGTTCAAACTGTCCACTGGTATAAAGAAAGTACTGGTAAACAAATATTGCGCGGTATACATGATACAGTGGAATTCACTTAGTCTGTACTCTGTGACATACTCTTGCTTAGTACGGATCTTGTTCAAAGCATGGGTGCATTGATCCAGACTGAAGTCTGATTGTTAGAACAGAAAGAAGTAGTTGCACCAGGTAAGAAGTACAATCATGTAGCTCGAATACAGAATACATGATTGTACAATGTTCCACTGCTCATGGTGTCACGTCTTGTTAGAGGATCTACTTAGGTCCAACCCATACCTTGCAATGTGGAGTTTTTCATGGTAAACCAGAATAACGGGATGTCACCAAATGGCCGCCTCAGAATGAAAACGTTGGTAGTGCCCAAGTCAATGGAGGCAAAAGCATCAGAGCTGGACATTCCGTATGCACCGCTTCCGTACCCTTTTAGATGTGCACACCAACTCGCTGATGCTGTGCCGTTGAAGTTCATCACCATCTGCAATGCCGTCTCGTTTAATTGCACCTTAGAGACGCTGAAGGTACATTCTGGTCCGTCACTGTCGCAGTCTGAGTTGGTGGTTGAATCTGGTGACACTGTCTCGTAGGCCAGTAGATTAGGAAGGTAAGTGTGGTGAGTCACTGCTTTGTGATATAGGCTGTGTACCGACACTGGATCAACAAGAATCAAAACAGGTAGTGTATATGATTGTGTATGACCGAATCTACAGCACTGCTCAATGACACCCAGTCGCGTCACTCAAGTACGCGCCTACAGTCCATTCACAAAAAGATGGGCCCTGGCTCTGGCGAGCTCCCGTATTAGGCGATTTTCAAGATTTTATCGTACATAGTGCAGTGCTGTGAAACTTGAAATTTGAAAAAGGGTCCAAAAAGGGTACCTAAACTGGGGTTCGAACCGTACAATGCACTGTTGCAGGCAGGGTCAAACAGCCTGGATTTTGATGGGTTTCCCAATTCAGTGCTCTTGGGGCAAAACCTGGCCGAAATCTTATTCTTCCTATGACTTGCTTTTTGGAGAAATAGACTTCAGAAACATAATTGGAAGGGGATTCCATAGGGGTTGCAGAAAAAAATTCTTAAAAACTCAACGTTTGACCCATTTATGGCCAAAAGCTAGAAGTCCATCTTTTTCTGAATGGACTGTAGTGTTGAGCAGCCCTGAGGCCTAGACCTGTGGACACTGCCCTGTCCCCGGGGAAAATTGCGGAAAAAAATCGCAAAAAACGCGGGGAAAAACGCGGAATAATATGGCATAATTTGCGGTGAATTTGCGGTAAATATGCGGTAAATATTGATGTGCGGCAATTTTCAGTGAGTATGTAGTGAAATCAATCAGTTACAAGTCTCTGGTGTAAACACTCGTCATATTTGAGTAAAAAGCCGCCACGATGAGACGTTGCTGACCGAACAGTGCACTGTGTGTACGTGTAGTGCAACAAAAAAGTTCAAAAAACGCGGGAAAATCGCGGAAAACGCGGTCTTTTAAAAAATCGCAAAAAACGCGGAAAAGAACGCGGCCGCGGAATTGCAATTTTCCCCGGGGACAGACTGCCACTGGGCCGCGAAATGGTGCAAGGCGCAAACTGGAGCGACGTGCCTGGATTTCATTGAGCAGCAATGTACATGTAGTTGCCTTCCTTGCGCCATACACTGACTCACTTCCACATGAACGTAACTCGTTATTGCCTTGCATGTCGCAATGTAGTGGAAAACAATTTCAGATAAATGTACCGGGCAGCAGGGGTATAGGACTCGGCAATTTCACTCCTTCTCACTGGAAAGTAATTTTGTTCGACGATGTCGGATGCTCAGACAGACAGGGAGCAGCAGTCAGCACGAAACACATCAGTGTAAAAGAATTCACACATTGAAGAACGTCTCGCCTTATCCACTAAGTACTATTTACTGCTTACCAGGAAGTTTGTCTTGGCGCCATGACTGGATGCCAGCGTATGACGACAACGGCGGACTACAATTCGCTGATGGAACAAAGTCACCTTGCACTAACCCTAGCACCAGCAGCAGCAATACTGTGACCAGTGGAGAAAGTACAACATTCTTCTTCGCACCTTGGCACAAACACGGACATCGTGGCCTTGGCTCCATTGCCAAAGACGATTTTGGTCTCTTGACTCTCTTCAGTCTCGACGGTGGCCGAAATGGCGCTGTTGTCAACTGCGGATGACTCTACATGCAGTTGAGGAGTCGACCCAGGAGTAGGACTAATTCGTTACCAGCCTGTTGCAACTGACCTGATGGCCCCTAGTTCGACCTCTCCTGCACGCTGCAAATGAACAAACGCTATGTGGTCAATTTCTTGAGAACCTCATTGAGGATACCTGACCGCGGAGGTCAGGTACATGTATCCTCAATGAGGTTCTCAAGAATCAGGATCACATAGCGTCTGTACATTTGCACCGTGTAAACATGACAAGTCATCGTGCACCGCTTCGAGACTGTCTTGTGAGCGTCGCAACACACGCCTGTGTCTAGTCTACAGATTTGATCGCCTTCGGTTCCATCGGGCGTGAACCCGATAAAGCTTGTGGTGAACATCTGACCTGCACAGCATGCGACAAGTCTACAGCTTTTCCCACCTCACATTAGGTGCAGATGGGATAATGCCTTTCAATGGCTTCCTTCCACTCCAGCAGCTGCTTGCCTGCTGCCCACCATTGTTCGTACTGGGAAAGCCTAAAAAGTGCGCCTGAGGCTGAAGCCGGGGCTCTGCTTGTTCCAAGAGTCAAGACGTCTGTCTGGTCTCCTCCACCATTACCAGCGCCAGCGGCACGTTCACTTGTTCAGACAAGGCCCCCGTGTAATATGCCGGCATTTTTTTGAGCATTTTCGGTACAATCCGCGAACCCAGCACTTTGGGCTCGTGATGCAGCATTTTGGGGGAAACGGAGCACTTGGCCGTTGTGTATCAAAATTGAGAGAAGAAAAACTTCCCAAACAAGAACGTCACTTCCGCATTCCGTGGGTTAGCTTCTTGTTGAGTAGTTTATGAATTGTTTACCATGGCAGACTCGAGCAAGTCTCTTATTGACTATAATTGAGTATTTCTAACTCCCTGGTTTTGACGCCGTGTGCTGAGGGGTGAGGACACTGATACACTGAACACGGGAATGCATGTACATGTACAGTGTAGCCATGTAGGTGCAAGGTTGTAATAATAATGAAGAGGTTGGTGCTACTTTTTTTTCGTGTTGCTCCCTACGTTGGAGCTCGCGCTTTTCCTGCCGACTTGAATTCTCACTTGACTTATATAGTGCTCTCCGGACCAAACCATCATCAGGGATACAAACTTACAGAGACGTTCCGTTTCCAGCGCGATAAACACCTCGTACACACCATAACAGTGACCCACGCCGCTATTATACTTATAGCAGCGTGAGTCAGTGTCGCTCATGGAGGTGCTGAACAAACGCCGAGGACAGTTGGCTATTCACAACGTTGTTGCCTTCAAAACATCAGTCTAATTCGCACTTTGAGGACAACAACGTGAAGAAGAAAGTTGGTGCGACTTCGGCGATACTTGCGGAATTGCGTGTCGCTCCCTACGTGGGAGCTCGCGCTTTTCCTGGCGACTTGAATTCTCACTTGACGGACTCACGACTGCCATCCAGAGCACACGCGAAGGCCATCGAACCTTCCAATCGGCAAACCTGCAAGAAAGCTCCGCTCCTAATATTATGGATAGCGGTAAAAATTATAAAGACACGGAACCAGGTTGCCGCATACAATGTCCCTTGTACGGGCAAAATGATCGCCTTCCGTGTTCGCCCAAGGTCAGACAGATCATTGTCAGCGAACGAAGGACATTCGCGATTGGAGTAATCATCGATTCCGTGTTTGATCATTATCATTGCGGAGTATTGGCGTTGCCGCGAGGCCAGGAGGCATTTGTATTAATTTGTATTTATTTTACGTCGATATCAAAGGGGCCTGGGCCTGGCTGCCCTATACGGCAATACCTGTAGTATGATCGGATGGCTACAATCTGAATCAGTGCAAAGACACGTGGAAGAGCACTGGAGGTCGTCCGCAACCCTTGTAGCCTATAACTTACAAGACTCATTAACCTGTTGCCACCTACTTGTCCATATCTAAGTAATTAGTTATCATAGTCGAAGTACTGTTTTACTAAATGGCGTTCGGTTTTTGCATGATCCATATCCACTTAGATTCCCGTCCAACAATTGATCTTCGAATCTTTACAGCCACACAACTACATGTACACTGTAGTTGTGTGGTATGTTGCTAGGCGTTGCTAGGCGTTGCTAGGCGTCCTTCAATTGAATCCTACTTTCACCGTCTTGTCCAATGGCCTTGCCAGTATCGTCATCGACAGCGACATCGAAGAGCGTGCTTTATTCAAAGCGATTTCTTTTCTCCTCGTGACTTCGCAGCCGCTAGGCGTCTTCGTCAACATCAGCATCGTCAGCTACCTCTGGTTTCTCCTCTACATTGTGTCTCTACTCCCTTCGCCTGGAGCGTCCTCACCATCATCTGTCGGCGCAAGGCGATATGCATGCAATTTGACTTGGCCATGGATTTGGTTCTTCTGAGGCAACTGAGAGGTGGTACACATCCGTTCCTGCGTGGGTCTTGTGTTAGTGGATATAACTTGTAATTCCTTGGTCCTTTTTTCGCTATAAATAATTTATTATTGATCCTCGGCTCTTCATCCGAGTCTAATTTGAAAATTGTTTTGATTGCTAATGAGCTTAGCGAACATTGCCCCGCAGCTCCCTTGTGTTATTTCCCCGTACAAAAGGCTTTACCTCCTTCACCACAAAATCATGACATGCAGACTTTTTTTTAAAGAATGTAGACTTTAATAAGACTATTACTAGAGAGTAGAGGTCAGGAAGTACTATAGTACTCAGATCATCGTCAGAATATGTTGTGTGCTTTGATCTCCCGCCGTGCTCTACCTGACATGATTTTTTTGTTTTTTCGTGATTCCCCATGGTGATTTTGTAACAACAAGTAACTTGGTAACTCCAAAGCTCAAAAGAAAAGCCAAAAAATCTAAACCAAGACCATGTGCATTAAACTCATGTTATTTAGAAATACAGGTCAAGTGAATAGTTAGTCAGTCCATTGTTAACGATGGTCTCCGACGGGTACGTCAGCGAGCGAGCCTCCGCCATTGCTAAAGCAGCGTGGGCTCCGCGAATGCATAAATTATGATACATGATTTCAGAAGGCTGAAGGAAAATCCTGCATCTAGAGAAGGCTATAACATGTGAATAGTGCTCGCCCCTCTTCTCAGCCAACAGATGAAAAATGCGTTTGTAGAGTGCCGTTGATGCCGGACCCATTCCGCCACTGGTTGACATGACCGCCGGAACAAACGAGGCTTGCTCCACCTGCATCACCATCTCCTGATAGTGCCTTATCTTTTCTCTTTCGTGTCGCTGGTACACAATAGTATGCTGTGCAGATCGATTTGAGGGTGAGTGAGGGTTAAAAACCTGTATATCAATAAATGCACGCTCAAAACGACTGCCCCACAAACCATTGGCAGTGACATCCAACTGGGCACGGTCCTCCACATTCGCGGTCCGGTAGCCAAGACGCTCCCCGTCAGCGGTTGCAGTATGGGCTCAATCGACACATGCACTGGTGCACATTCAGCAGCCGGGCTGTGACGTCACGAATTCCATTGTATCTTATGGAGAGAAACCCACCATAGCCTAGGGGCACGACAAGGAATGCGCAACAGTTATTTCTTGGCCACAAGAGCAGTGCGACGGTGCCCTGGCCGGCGTCCATCCATAACAGAGGCAAAGTGCGTCCCAGAACTCTCCCTTCTATAAATTGAAAATAGTACTTCTTTAGAGGAGGGCACATCAGCCAGCTCGATGACCCATTCTCTTTCGCGACGTCAATAACGTGGTGTAGCGACTCTGACGCACTTCCCGATATCGCGTCCGGTTCCGTTATCTGATGACGTCAGGAGGATGCCTTGGTGTCTCTCTGTGCCGACCTGGTTAGTGCCACGGAATCACCGATAGAGCTGTCCCGGGACAAGATTCTCCGAGACAGAGGATTCATCATTCGAACCAACGATTCATAGGGATTCAGGATTAATCAAACTGAGCTCACCCAGACGACACGGCAAAGCCAAAAGCCGCCGGAGGGTGTCCCCTGGGGGTGCACGACAAGTCAAGGCGGGAATCAGTTCTGACTTCACAATGTCCTCCAGCGGTTGGAACATGGGTTCGGGTACTTTCATGGCACGACAGAGGAACGCCCACCTACCCCTGTGGCCCGTCGCATACGCTGAATACACAGCCTGTGGCTGGGTTTGCGCAAATAGAAATACTGCTAACTTCTTCAGTCCTCCTATCCATTCGCCCACCTTTGTTTTGATATAGCTTTGAAGAAAGTAACAATTACATAGTTGTCCCTTCCGATTGCTGCGCCAAGACCATGAAGACACCGTGACCCCTCGTTCGTTACCATGACGCCAGTGTCGCGAAACCGGTGGCCTCCTGGTATTGACTATTGTGGTAACTCCTTTCCTTTACGACAAGGACCGATTTCTTTTGGTGACTGAAAAATAGTTACTACTACTATACGTAGTTCTGTCCTGTGGCTGAGGCTGAGGCGGTAGCCTGTACATGCCATGCATGGCCTGGGCGCCAGGCAGGGAGTCATACTCATGGCCGTAACGATCGTATCGATTCGTATGGCCCTGCCCGTATCATATCATGCGTATGCACGGTATGGCGATAGATCTACATGTACCTGTGACCATGGTGACCCAGCTAGCAACGCGCTAGCAACAGCAGTCACAGCACTCATATCATGAGTCATGTCGATGATAACAGAGTCATACTCATACTATTACTGAGTCATACGTCATACTCAGTCATAGCAATACAGCAAATATACAGCAAGCCCCCGTGACCCCGTCTGATCTGGGAAGTGTGAATGCTTTTCAGTTTTCGTGTTCATTTTCGTGTAACCCCTGCACTAGTCATTGTAGGAATAGTATTAATACTAAGCAGCAAGTAAGCTAGCTACAACCTCTCTTTCATCGTTTTCGTATTGCACTAATACTTAATAGTAGTACTGTCTGTGCTTGGCCCGACTTTCTTCCGTTTGCACGGTTTGGGCGATCTCTCGATCTCTCTGTGCATGTGTCTTCAAGAGAGAGATCTTGATATAAATAATTATTATAATTTATATACATCAAAACACCAAAAAATTGCTTGATCCTAGATCCTGTTTTCGAAATTATCATACGGTCATCAACGCTGTCCCGCGAATCTCCGCTCACAAACGGAGCAAGCAACGTGCCAGGAGGCGTGGTGGTTACTGTAAATTAATCGCCATGAGGCCGTTACGCATTGCTTGCGTCGGACCGGAGAAGGTACGTGAAGCCTTCCATGGCTGTTAGAATCAACAATCAGTCCGTGGCCTGTGTAGCCCGGAGAGGGAGAGAGCGTTGTCAGAATGAAATAATTTATTGATTCGCTAGGGTGGCAGCGAAGCAGCCCCTGCAGCCCGAACTGAGATGAAAAGCAGACAGATTTTCACTTCTTGGAAATCTGAAGAAATGTTGAGTATTTCCTGCTAGACTAACGTTATAACGACTGCACCCTAGCTTGGTGGTTGGAGCTTGGATAGCTGACTGTAGTAATATTAAATGACCCCTGATTTGGGTGATGCTGGTGATCATGATGGTGTTGGCGCTAGCGTTGTTGGTTTGGGTATTGTCCTCGTTATGTTGCTGCTGCTGCTGCTGCTGCTGCTGCTGCTGCTGCTGCTGCTGCTGCTGCTGCTGCTGCTGCTGCTGCTGCTGCTGCTGCTGCTGCTGCTGCTGCTGCTGCTGTACATGATTGTATTCGTTTTCAAGTTCTTTTAGAGTGCAGGCTACTCTGCTTTCTCGCGAGAGAGCAGGGATATCTGCGACGAACAAAATGAGCATGGTGTTATTATTATTCATGCATTGCGTGCATTTCTTTGGAATGTCGTCATGACATGAGTATAGTACAGCCTAGCCCTGGCCTGAGAAATCTGACCTCATGAATAAAGTAGCGAAGTGTTCAAGTGCTCAGAGTGTTGTGCTAGGGCCGCTTAGCGACCCCCCACAACGCTATTTTATTCACGAGGTCGAATTTCTCTTGCCAGGGCTGTACTAGAAAAAGACCCACAAAGAATGAAAACGAACATACAACGTACATGTACCGTAAAGTACCGCCAGAGCGCCCCACCATCTCGTCCTTTCGTGGTCGTATTTTGGAGGTGGTCTCCTGTCTGTAGGTCATAGGACACAAACTTTGTACACATGTAATGCACGTTGTGCAGACAATCTGTACCTTCGAGCGGACACGAGCTCCACACAAAAAACCCTGCTGAGTGTGACCTTAGTACACTAAGGTTCTAACACCGTACAAATTGCATTGCATTCTGCCATGCGATTTTCCTTTCCCTGGCTGTAAAATCAAGGTGGGGCGCTCTGGCGGTACTTTATGGTACAATCATGTACATAAGCTACATGAGTAAGACATACGGTACACCCATAATACTACTTTTAAGTATGACTAACCACTATAGTGCATGTGTGTGTACGTGTGTGGGTGTATGTGTGTGTGTGCGCGCGTGTGTGTGTGTGTGTATGTGCGTGTACTTGCATGTACATTTTTTTGTATATGCACTTGCAGGTCGGTAAGACCGTGCTCTGCAATGTGTTGTCTGAGAATGGCCTGGAGAGCTACGGTGAATACAAATCGACGCATTGTGTCAGGTATGACTAACAGTAGCCCTGCTAAATCAGTCATGTAAAAGCTAAGCCAAATGGCCTTGATCTGAGGAGTCCCAAGATACACAAGTTAATGAGATCCATACTACTTCCTGATGATGGGCCTGGTCCGAAAATTTGGATGTCATTCTTAAAATTAATTATTTTTTGAAGAATTCGTAGCCGAGAGACCGTTTTTGGGTAGTGGTGTATAACTGTGTTAAACATGAAGTGGCTCCAGTGGAGTCTGCCCACCCTGAGGACGGTACTTTACTTTATATACACTAGCATCCAGATTTTGGCATTACTGTTGTTTGACAATCGCCTAGGGCGTGGAACTCGGATTCACAACAACCGTGTTATCCTCGTCTGCTTGTTGCTTGGGTACTCCTGTCGATAGAGAGTATCAAAAGAGATTGAGAAGTATGAAGGGAAGGAGACGCAGTAAGATTTTTAGTTCTTGCCTTTGGAAAACGCCATCTCTGGTAACTAAAATCTCCTTGGTCCAAAAAGTCAGTGTAACTTATTTCCCCATCCAATGTGTTCAGTATTGCCTATTGAGCCATTCCCGCAAGAGCCACGTGCACCCAGTCAGATCATGGTGCACACTATGGAAACCGCTGATTGCATGGGAATGGATACTGCAGTATTTGCTGTGTTGCAGCCGCCACGGTGCAAAAGCTTTTGAGTCGGCTTCCGAAGAATCTTCATGCACTCTTTCGCTAGCCGATGGTCCTTAGGCCGACCATCACTTGTCATCTGTCTGGCACTTTGTGCAGAATACTGGAATTTTCAATGCGAGTGAAGACCGGAGGAGACCAGCATGGGCAACGAGATATCCAGCTGTGGGACTGCGGTGGACGAGAAATGTAAGTTTTTTTACGAGAAACCGTCGGGAGGGCACATGAACGTGGCCCAGGGTGCGAATGTAAAAGAAACCGCACTGGATTCAAAACCAACTACACTGCTTTGTGTGTGCCCTAGTGTGTGTGTGTGTGTGTGTGTGTGTGTGTGTGTGTGTGTGTGTGTGTGTGTGTGTGTGTGTGTGTGTGTGTATGTGTGTGTGTGTGTGTGTGTGTATGTGTGTGTGTGTGTGTGTGTGTGTGTGTGTGTGTGTGTATGTGTGTGTGTGTGTGTGTGTGTGTGTGTGTGTGTGTGTGTGTGTATGTGTGTGTGTGTGTGTGTGTGTGTGTGTGTGTGTGTGTGTGTGTGTGTGTGTGTGTGTGGTTATTGACATGAGTGCATGGTTACTTATTTCCATAGTGCATAGTAAACAGTGCACTGTACCTGATGTCTAGGAAACTCTGGATTTATGGCTTGGCGCTACTATTCCCAACTCGAGACGTACGGATCTGTACCAACCTCCTCAACTCAGCCTGACTTCGTATACAATATGGACTAACACCCAACTTCCGGACTGCCAGCTGTTTCGACGTTGTCAGGCTCGTCAGCAGGGCTCCGAGGGACTGGCCAAAACGATCACAATGAAGCCTAGCAAGGGCGGATCCAGGGGGGTGCGAAGGGTGCAAATGAACCCGTCAGGATTTTTCCAAAAAAAAAAAAAGGCCAGGCCAGGCTCGCTGCGCGGATCCGCGGATGATTTGTGTGCAATCACGTGATCGTTCTGGACACGTGCTCAACTGCTCGTTGTGCACGTCAACGCGCCAGGGCTGCACATTTGGAATAGAACTTTTTTGGAACTAACTGTTACTTTTTCACCGGCAACAAACTCACTTCGAAGTTCTTTACTTTTGACGTTGCATGTTTCAGTTGTCGTGTTAGCTTCTTTCAAATTCTCACTGCTTGTTCCGACTCCGTTTCCGTGCATGCTGAGCGGAGATGTCGGACACAGCTGGTGGACCAGCTGGTGAGACCATGGAGCCTGCTGCTAAGCGTCGTTGTGAGAGCCATCATCCTTTTGACATTCTCCAGGATGCGGAGTGTTGTTGTTGTTGTTGTTTCTTTATTTTACTTCACCATATGAACAGGCAAGACTGCCTTCTCACCGGGGCTGTTGGCCCACGGCTCTCACAATATGATGAAAATGTTTAAAATGTGTATGAAGAAGAAAGGAACGGAAAAGAAGATGAAATGAAAGGAAAGAAAACAGTAGGTATTAATTTTATGAAGGGGGGGGGGGGTATGAAATGGGTATTATCATAGTTGATGAGAGAAGTATGATATACAATATTCTTGTTCTATAGACTATTTAGTACGGGCATTTCATGAGAGTCATGCATGGGCAAGGCAGGATTTGGACTAGGATAGAGGACAAGAACATAATTGATGAGCATCTGTTCAGGCAGAATCTGTGAAGAAGACATAGTAGGCACAACATCGGAGAGCTAGTTGACGAGGGAGATGAGGTCATAGCCAGACAGCAATGCTTGAAACGTGTGGCGTACGTCGCAAGCGCGAATATCAGCAGGGAGAGAGTTCCATGTGGTACTGCCAACAAAGGCGATAGAGCTACGGCCTGAGGGACCAGGTAGGAACGGCACTCTGAGCAGCTGGCTGACCTGACCACGCGTGACACAACTTCTGTCCACATCCGTGGCAATGAGGGAGTAGTAGGATTGGAACAGTGAGCTGGCTCTGCCATGAAGGCAGCGGAAGACGAAGAGAAGCAGACGTTGCACGTACAGCTGGTGGAGCTGAGGCATTGATAGTCTGGCAAATAGGGGAGCAGTGGGGGTCCTTCTGGGGAGTTGGAAGATGGCTCGTATGCCAGACTTAGCAATGCGTAGCAGTCGATGTAGCAGCAGTTTGGATAGAGCAGGAAAGAAACAGTTTGAGGCATAGCAGAGAACAGACTGGATCATACTCATGTACCAGGCCCGGCGGGCATTGAGTGAAAGGCACCGTCCATGGCGCCAGAGCTGCCTGATTGTAGTAGCAGTCTTGCTGGCAATAAAGTCCACTTGGGGCTTCCAGGACAGTTGGTCATCAAGCATGACACCGAGATACTTCGTGACTGGAGTAACATCAAGCACTGTGGTACCACACTTCACTTCAGATGGTCCGAGTGAGGAACTGAACAGCCGCCCTGAATTCTGACTAGAGTTGACATTGTGTATATAGCATGTACATAGCATAATCTGTGTCTGACTGAGAATCATACCGGTAGCAGTCGTAAATTACTTGTAAATTTTGACATTCAATGTGTAACTAATCATACTACTCATCTTGGTGCTATGTGTAATTATGATATTATACAGTAACACACATAACATACTATGTCTTTGGTTTACTACTGCTAAAGAAAATATGTAAGTTTCATCCTCGCACCCCTCAGCTTTGGGGTCTGGATACGCCCCTGCCTAGTGGACAGCAAAGTATTCATAGTCAGAGTCACGCTCTAGCTGCGAAAAGCACAGCCAGCTGTTCACGTAATGAACGAGTATCCATTTTTATGGCGTTTTCACTCTCGCCGCACATGTACTTTGTTGTGACAGTTGTATCCTAAGGCTGTGCACTGTGTATAGTGCACTATACACAGTGCGCTGTGTATAGTGCACTATGTATAGTGCACTATACACAGTGCGCTGTGTATAGTGCACTATGTATAGTGCACTGTGCACATTGCACTATACATAGTGCACTGTGTATAGTGCACTATACATAGTGCACTATACACAGTGCACTGTGTATAGTGCACTATGTATAGTGCACTATACACAGTGCACTGTGTATAGTGCACTGTGTCCAGCCTGCGGAGTGGACAGAGCCAGTAACACAATACTCACACAGCAATGACACAATCAAGTCCTTTTCTGCCGTTACCAGTACTCTGAGTTTCGTGTAAAAACACACGCATACACACACACACACGCATACACACACATACATGCACACACACACAAACACATGCATGCGCGCACACACACACACACACAAACACACACACGCATACATACACACACACACCAGAGAGATTGTTCTGACCCGTATGCTCCATTGCTGTACAGGTACGATTCCAAGTGGGCGGCCATTGAGTACAAGTGTGATGCAGTGCTGCTGGTTATTACTTCGGACAAGTCGCTTGAAACGGTGCAGCGGCTTGAGAAAATGTAAGTTTGCCGCAGAGATTTCGCGGCACAGGGCTATCAAACTCGATGTCCTTTGACTATGCTCAATGTGATGTTAAAACACGTTTTCCGTCCTCTTATTGTTTATGATAATACATGTACTTTGTAGGTAAATACCGTCATGTTCAAATGAAGGGTGTTAGTTGTCGCGTGAATGGGTGTTTATACCTTATTTGAGACTTCACGGACAAGCACAAAATGCTAGTCTACGCATATCAGATACGAAATTGAATGTACCCTTCAGAAACGCTGATCAGTGATACTTCTGTTCATTGAGGAACATTGTGATTCGGGAACAGTACACCGGTTAATTTGCGCCGTCCGCGAGTTGAATCCCACAAGGGGTTTGTTGTGTTCTTCCCCATTCTTCCCCAAAGGTAAGTTGCCAACTTCATCAACTGTCTGCATGTCCGTCAACATAATTCTCCGTGATGGACTCAGCTTCATATTCCCCTCTCCAATATGAATCCACTCTCCATATTCCTATTCAAAATTTAATATTTTAATAATAATAATAATATTCTCCAGTGAGAAAAAGAAGGGTTGTGTGGCCTGCTATCGGAAAAGATATTTCTCTAACAAAAAAGAAAGAAAGCAAAGCAAGTTGAAATCCACCATATCACTGTTATGCCATGGTAGCACCACAGAGCTGCTGGGTGCCTCGCTGCTGCTGCTGCTGCTGATTGAATCTCTATATCTACCATGTGCAGCTGCAAGTTTTTCATCAAGAGGAAGCCAGCGGTTAAGGTGCTTGTCCTGAAGAATGAGCTACCCGGCAACCAATCCATTGATATCAGTAAGCAATGCATGCAGATGCAGAATATCTCCTTGGTCTAGTAGTCATTTACATGTCATGCGCAAGTCGCTCCCCGTGGTGACATTGCCTGACGTCACAACACGTGTGCACGCATGAGAGAAGTACTAGTGTTGTACCTGTAATGACACTGTGCGTGTGTGTGTGTATGTGTGCGTGTGTGTGTGCGTGTGTGTGTGTGTGTGTGTGTGTGTGTGTGTGTGTGTGTGCGTGTGTGTGTGTGTGTGTGTGTGTGTGTGTGTGTGTGTGTGTGTGTGTGTGTGTGTGTAGGCGTGTGTGTGTGTGTGTGTATGTGTGTGTGTGTGTGTGTGTGTGTGTGTGTGTGTGTGTGTGTGTGTGTGTGTGCAGAGGGGGGGGGGGGGGGGATCATTCCCATGGGCAAACCTATTTCTAACTATAAACGAGTTTTTTAGAAGTAAACTAGAGCCTCCAATGCCGATAGAACTCCAGGCGTCCGCTAACACCCAGAATAGCCCAACGTTCAATACAGTACTTTCTAGCAGGAGCTTTGGCCGGTTAGTAGGCTGTGTTTGTTCACTTGCCATCTACCCAACTTCTTTGTCTTTCTAGGCCTGCCAATTAGCGGACATGAGCAACACGAAGTGGACCCACAGGAGGGAGTAGATGCGCTACGAAAAATCTTCAAGAAGTTCATCAACCGCTTAGCGGACAAGCTATACTCGGAAGAAGCAGATGGAGAGTGAAAAAACAGAAGGTGTTGATGGAATGTAGCCTCCGTGGTGGCTGCGGAAGCATTCCGGGGTCCTTTGACTTGAGCTTGACATGAACACAATGCCATGTTTCTGTAACGGTTTTTGGTACTTATGCGTGTCACGAATGTATCTTCGGTGCATTTCGCACTTTCCTCGTTTTCTTGCAAAACGTGCGTGATTGTCAAGTTAAAAATGTACTTCAACTTTTGATGAAAGGATACTGCTGCAGTGCAAGCATCGCAAGAGGCGAGCTTAGAAGAGTGGTAGCCACATGTTCAAGTGCCATGCTTCGCTTGACGTGATGGCGCCCTGTAGTCAATGCTAGTGCTCATAAGCTGATGTGAGCACAGTCATGTACTTCTGTGTATACATGTACATGACTGTATATTCATAGTACAGAGCTGCATGCATTTACTTGTATAGTTATTTTATGCTGCAGTACAGTCATAATCATACATATTATGTATCTACTCCACAGGCGCTAGGCTTGACTTGAGCAATACTGGTAGACCAATGACAAAGTGGCCACTTTTGGCTGTGCCAAATATTCTCTTCCGTGTACGCATGTGTATGTGTGCGTGCTTCTCTTGCGACGGGTGTATACATGGCACGCGGTGGGTGGGTGTGGGTGTATGTGTGTGTGTGTGTGTGTGTCAGTCTCGTGGTAGCAGTCGTAGGTGACCTGAATCCTGGCGACCTCTCGTTGTTTGTGTCCCGGACGCCGATTGATGTTTGAATTTGTAGTAAAACTGCGTTTTGAAAATGCTGCGTTTTGAAAATGCTATCTCGAGCAAAGGAAAACCCGATTTCGGGTTGGTATACACTGTTACAGTTACATCTCTGCTCTCCGCTCCTCATACAATCCCCACTTCACATCACAATGCATCATTGCTTGTGAAATGGGCAATTACACGCACGAGGCGATCCGGCGTCAGACAACAGATGTAGCCGATCTCTATGGTTCCCTTCTCTCAGGGGCAGACTCTACACGATAGCCGCATGCATGATCTGTGGTGTTGACTTGCGGATATGTAGCTAACTAAACTAACTACTTTGTCTTTGTTGCGCCGCGACTCGACTTCGATGCATCGTGCCAGGCGGCTGAGGCGTGAGTGCCTGTTTACAGCCTGTGAACCTATTACTTACGCACAGCGGAAGACATTTGAATTTCTCCTCCTCCTAGCTCCTGGGGACCTGACCGTCGATAATTATAGTATTGCTCGACGAAAGTTTGACTAGGTAGCAACATGACCGGAAACGTCTTCGACGAAATGGAGCCGGGACCGTTACCAGGTTACTTCGATGTCACAGCGATGTTATGCCTGACATGTATACCATGGTATACAGTCGGCAGAGTGCCAGTGCCAGTGGTCTTGATTATAGTCCAACATAGCAAACATCTGGTAGATCTTCCGGCTCTCTATCTTCGCCGTGTTGTTTTTCCTGGGTGCATAATGACAGTGGCAGACTAATTAGCGATTTGGAATGATTGCTAACAGTTCGTCAAAGCTTAGAAGGTGAGAAGCTGCTAGTTCAGTTGTTGTTTTGTCGGATATTTGTAAATTTCCCAAAACGCCTTAGATCGTGCGGACATGTGTCTGTTGACCTGACGCTGACGCTATCGGGAGGCTCGAGGAGGATGGCGCTAAGTGTATCCCTACATACATGTGAGACTTTTGAAGGAGTGTGTTGTATTCCGCGGAACATAATCTGATAATGGCTTGAGAACCACGGTCCATGTACAGCAATGCAATGATACGCTACATGTAGCAATAGTCAAGAAGGAAGGATGGCAGCACACTACCGTCAATAGTGTGCATGATTGTATTGTTACTACAGTGAAACCTGGCTAAGACGACCGCTCAAGGAACCTTCAAAACGTGGTCTCTGTTACCAGGTGGTCTCAGACTGTCCAACCTCCTGGCCACCCCAAATCTGGACGCCAGTCTAAATAATTTTCTTTTCTTTCTATAAACAGAAAAGATCTGAATGCACCCGACGTGATACAGGTGGGCATAAAGCTGGCACGGCAGCCAACGAAACGTGCTTTCGGGTAGTGTCTAAGTGTCTGCAAGTCGCATGAACATGAGCTCGCGCGGGCTCGGTGTCCGAAGAGTGCACGCATCAGCCATCTTTTCCGTGTGATCAATCGTGATCTGTTGTCGGAGTCAAGACGTGAAAAGCGGGACTACAGTGTCGATTTTTCATGAAGTCTGGACAAAAGGCGTCCGGATGAGGACCTCGGCAGGACGCAGGGCAATTTCTCTCAAATCTGGACTGTCCAGACGAGGTCTGGACGGTTGGACAGTCTGTGGTCTCCTTATCCAGGGTAATTTGACTGGAAATATCATCCATTGGTCCTGGTTTCAGTGGTCGTTTTAGGACAGCTGGTCGCCATATCCAGGTGGTCGCCTTGACAGGTTTTACTGTATACAATAGTATGTACACGTGTCATGACTGCGTTGAACATAAGTCATTGTACTACAAGTAGAGTGCTGCTCAATGAAATCCAATCGCGTCCCTCAAGTTAGTTTGTGCCCTGCACCACCACCAGTACATTATCACAGTGTCCGCAGGTCTAGAGCGGCTTTTTTTTTTTTTTACTATTATTCACAAACCCAACTCGTAAAATAAATAATTGTGTTTCTTTTTCCTGGTGCGTGCTTGTGGCATTGAAGCCGAGACCTTTGGTCGGTGGAGCCCCTGGTACCTCACCATCACTGCTGCCCAGTGCAGCCCCTGCTCAGTAGCTGTTTGTTTTTGTCCACATAATTATTTATTTTACGAGTTGGGTTTGTGAATAACAGCAAATAGACTAAGACTAAGAGACCCGGCCGAACCGGTCTGGTTCCAACCGTTGTTGGCCACCAACGCGTGTTTACTGAGGAGGGGTATAATGTGCGCCCGTCATATCGTTATATCGTTATGCCGCTAAGTATGAAAGGCTATAATGTCGGTATGGCCGGACAAAGGCTAAGCACAAACTTGCGGCTTACCTAGTCATGACTGACATGTAAAAGCTTAGCCATGTCATTCCAGAGAGGTAGGATTTATTCCCGGAGCTATGCAGAAGACGTTACTTCAGTAACGTCTGGCGCTAGCCAGGGTCCACACAGCTTTAATTTGGTGTTTGTGTGTTTGTGTCACGCCTGGCGCTATCCCGTTTCTGTCCCGTACCGTACCGTACCATTAAACACAGCTGGCCACATACAGCTGGCCGCAATATTCAAATAGGGCTTTCAAACGCAAGATCATAACATGAAGCAACTTGGAAGAATGAGTATGAATGCGAAGTGTATGGGGGAATGCATGTAGGGCGATAGTGCGGGTTCGAATCCCAGGTTATGCCTAAAAAAAAATGAAAAATTTATAACATCCTTATGCTTTTTTTGCCTAGGTCATCAAGGCGGTAGACGGTGTCGTATTATCCTCGACCGTACCTGTCCCGTACCGTACCATCAAAGACGGCTGGCCACAATGCATATTCAAATAGGGCTTTCAAATGCAAGATCATAACGTGAAGCAACTTGGAAGAATAAGTATGTATGCGAAGTGTATCGGGGATGCATGCAGGGCGATAGTGCGGGTTCGAATCCCAGGTTATGTCTTTAAAAAAAGAGAAATTTATAAGAATTTATAACATCTCTATGATTTTTTTGTCTAGATCATGAAGGCAAAAAAGGAAAGCGTAGGGCCCTGAGCTTCCAAGCTCTCTCATTTATTTATTTATTGCATCATCATCTCGTGGCAGGCAATGCCAATATTGAATGAGAGAGGGGATAGTTCTGGCACAACTAATTGTAGGCAACTAATCACAGTACTGCTTGGCACCAAAGAACTGGGGGGGGGGGGGGGGGGGGGACACAGTTAGAGCTCTCAGACTTCAAGCTGGTGCATTGGGCCAATTCAGAAATGCTTTCTTCACTAGAATTCATTGGCATCCATTCTGCTGTGCATTGTCGTCACTCCGAGCTCCGCCGCCAAGACCTACCAAGGTCGAAACAGCTACCTGTCTGCAGAACGAGTAAGTCGGGAAAACAACAATAATGTACATGGTGCAATCATGGAGGCTGAACTGTGTTATAATGATCAGAAGCACTCCCTAAGCATTCACTGACAATAATAATTAGTAATATTAATTGTACCTGTACAAGCACGCTTGTACTGGATGAAATCAACATCCACTTGGCCAGCCTTCAGCACTCTACTACTTTCACAAGTTTCCTGTATTAGATGACAGTCCTGATTCCTGTATTGGATGAACCGATTCCTGTATTGGATGACCCGATTCCTGTGTTGGATGGCATTATTCCTGCCTTGGATGACTTGATCCCTGTATTGGATGACATGGTTAATGTGTTGGATGGTGTGTCAGTAAGCCCAATGGCTGCCACACCTGCACCCGTTTCCTATAGTCTAGAACCTGGGGTTACAGCCAGTGCTATTAGCATCACGTCTTCCTGCCCGCACGTGCAGGTGAATATGCAAAAGAAGGATAATATGCGGTCTTCCTCTAGTCTTTCAGGGTGGCATTTGCAGTATGTTTGTCTTGCACTCTCATTTCATCTTGCACATGTTCCGGATCCACTCCGCCGGCCTGAATACGTGTAGGATGTTATGCGTAAACCAGCACAAGTTGTTGCCACTTGCTCCAGTCCCTGCCAGCTGAGAGTCTTGCATTACCATAGCATAATAGCATTAGGCATAATAGTACTGGATAATTATGTCAATATTGTGCCCAAGGTGTGATGGGTTGTTTGCCACAACGCCCCTATCGAAGGTCTTGCCAGTGATATTTCCGAAAAGTGATACGGTCACCAGCACTGTGACATTAACCCGTCAAGAGCAGCGAGTGTGCACACATGGTCGCCGCGGTCACGGTGTGTGTGTGTGTGTGTGTGTGTGTGTGTGTGTGTGTGTGTGTGTGTGTGTGTGTGTGTGTGCCTAGCCTACTCTACTTGCTACTGTGCATCATCCTACGCGTAGCTGGCTCGTGCTTGAAGACCACCTATTCACTACACTAAGGTGAAATTGGAAAGAGAAAGTGCCACAGAGCCTTACATGAAACTCTGCATGTAGCGTAAGAGTTGATTTCTTGTTGTACTGCTCCAATAATTCAGTACAAGCTCTTCATACATGTATCACCACTGAAATCTACCCTTGAGTAAGACTACATGTCTGTTGATACTCTCCAATAACTTACAATTTGAAAGTTGCTTGGGAGTCTGATTGGAAAGCACCTTTGGCCCACTGGAAACGGCGTTGTCGACTCTGTGCAGCCAAGCGGCTTGCCATGTGGCCAGTGTTGTTCTGTCCTGCCCAGTGGTGCATGGCCTGGACAGGTGTACGCCGTCAGCCACCATCATGCACTGCTGTGGCGTGGTGGCGTGTACTGTGTCTGGTTGCTCTGCATGGCTTACCGGTATTGTCTGCTGCCTGTGACCTGTCTCCATTCACAGGCTTGTCATCGTGGCGTGCAAACAATCTCTTTGGTAAGAAACTAGCTGCATCTTATAATGTTTTGAAGTAGCTGTTATGATTTTTGAGCTCTGAAGCCTATCAAAATGATGTACTCTTTAAAAAGTAGGTTCATGGGTGTGAACGGCCCTTCCAGCACTTCCAAAAGTTTTTGTTTTCAACCATACTAGAATTTGCATTCTCTTGGCATTGCGGTTGCTTCTCCTCGCGCTCCGGCCCCACACTTCCCGCATGGAGAGAGTGTATATTTCTTGGCATGACACATTTGGAGTGTTCTTTTTGGAATTTGTATAGTAGAAGAACAATGTTGGGCACAGGATCAATGATCTAGTGAATATCTGCGTACCAGATAGACCGACAGGCTTGTGTTTGGTATGCATAGTCATGTGGGGTATTAATTACGACATTCGTATTGCCCAGCTAGGGCAGTAACCAGCTGATGTTCCTTGGTACTACTGTACTATACTTTCAGCACCTAGTCCCAAGTACCCCCCCCCCCCCCCCATCCCTACAGGCAACATACACTATGTAAATGGGCATTCTCCTTGCTGACTGCACTGCAACCGCTCACCGTGCCCAATGGCTGATGGGTGTCCACTGGGCACACTAGAACCAATCATGCATGCACTGGACATTGCAAAGGAATTAGTTCCTGCCCAGTACTACAGTGACTAGCGCTCGACAATGGCACGCTTAGAGCAGACTTAGTGCAATGTTGGTGTGGCCATAGTGAAGGCTTAGTGCAGACTTAGCGCAATGTCGGTGTGGCCATAGTGAAGGCTTAGTGCAGACTTAGCGCAATGTCGGTGTGGCCATAGTGAAGGCTTAGAGCAGACTTAGTGCAATGTCGGTGTGGCCATAGTGAAGGCTTAGTGCAGACTTAGCGCAATGTCGGTGTGGCCATAGTGAAGGCTTAGTGCAGACTTAGCGCAATGTCGGTGTGGCCATAGTGAAGGCTTAGTGCAGACTTAGCGCAATGTCGGTGTGGCCATAGTGAAGGCTTAGTGCAGACTTAGCGCAATGTCGGTGTGGCCATAGTGAAGGCTTACAGTCCATTTCAAAACTATAGACGCGCAGTGTTTTTGAAATATTTCAAATTTGGCTGGAACTTTTCGAGAATAGTTTTCGGAATATTGCTCAGGTCCGCTCCACAATTACTCTCATATAGTTTCTAAACAATTGGATAACAGACGCCCAATTTGGAAAAAATTATGCACAAAGTGATCACAGATTTTATGTGGTATAGATGCTGGCATAACGGTTTTTGCCTAGGTACGCGTCTATAGTTTTGAAATGGACTGTAGTGCAGACTAAGCGCGATGTTGGTGTGGCCATAGTGGAGGCTTAGTGCAGGCTTAGCGCAGGGTTGATTATTGAAAGAAAATGAGAAAAAAATCAGTTGCCAAGCACATCCACTTTGCCTGGGTGAATTTTTCAAAAGAAAAACTCATATTTATATTAATAGTGTTGATGCTGATACAGAAAATCTGATAATCGTTGACAATTCCGCTCACGCCTTCTCCAGATATGTGTGCATGGGTAGCTAAGTCAGTCTGGAAACCATTGAGTTTGGAATCAGAACATCTAAGTAACGCAGATAATACATGCCATGGATTAAAATACCAGGTAACGGGGTGAGCAGCAGCATTTGGCCCTGTACAGATTTTCATCGGCCACCGCACCATAACTGCGATCTCCAGCCGACGTCGAAGCGCCGTTGCCTCAGCACAGTGCTGGCGGGGGCGGCACATCCGTTGGTTCTGAAGTCTGTCATACAGCTGTTAAAAACACCCACTGGCAAACAGACATGTATGCCCACAGTCGAGGGACAGAGAAAATCATCATGTGGCTTGTGTGCGCCGCAGCTTCATTACAATTTGACCTTCCCGCTGCTGCTAATGAGACATCACTGATCCAGAAGTGAGCAGCTGCGTGGTGGAACACCCTGTGCCATGCATAATAGCAAATGGTAATACGTGCAAAGCAGGCCATGCGGCCCGTGTGGGCTAAGTTCCAGTAATGAACCAACTGATAAGGCGGTTGCTCAATGATAAGCCATGAACTGTTCCTTTCCCTAGATTTTGATTTGTTTCAGTTGTTACATTAGACATCGGTGCCCGGTTTTTTTTTTCAAGTATTCTCCTTGGGGGGGGGGGCAAGCTTGCTACTTCAAAATAGAGTATTTCCAGGAACCAATTCAAGCCGTCCGTCACAGTGTACAGTGCATGTTGAATCGCCTGCGAGTGTGTCCCGACCACTCTAGGCCATGCATGGAATGCGCAGTCGTAGGATAGTAGGCACACAGTGAGGCACCGTATGTTTGTTCAGAAGTCAGCTGCGTAGACTCTGCTACATTGATTGTGTGACTGTGTCTTTATTCTCACAATGGCCGTGGCCAAAAAATCTAGAAAAATGCATTAGCAAGCAGATGGTAGCAGGCAGAATGTGTGTTGTGCACCAATAGAGAATGCGATGTCCGTTAGAAAATGTGTATTCTATAGAGGAAAGCATGTTGCTTTTTAATAGCATCATTGAAGCAATTCACACATGGACCGCCATTACTGAGTGTGTGTTTGGGAGGGGGGGGGCTACCCCTTCACTGCCAATGCTGCCAGATTCTGGGAGTTTCCGAAGGCACCCATAGTCAATTCTGCCAATAGAGGTACTCGGAACGTGTTATTGTACTTCAAGATCATAATGGTCACATGTAGCTTTCAGCCGCAGTTCTCAGCTGTTTCTTCCGTTTTGGAACTTTCTCTATGCCATTGGGAACTTCCACTATGCAGTCTTCTCATGTGCTCACGCTGCTTGTTTGTCGAATTGTTAGCTTTGATTTCAATAATGGTTTGAAAAGTCCACATGCAATTCTCTATAAACCCATGCCTGACATTGCATGCACCACACACTTTGATTTCAGCAAGGTTGGGATGTTGCTGTTGTTGCTGTTGTTGTTGTTGCTGCTGCTGTTGTTGTTGTTGTTATTTGTTGTTGTTGTTGTTGTTGTGGTTGTTGTTGTTGTTGTTGTTGTTGTTGTTGTTGTTGTTGTTGTTGTTGTTGTTGTTGTTGTTGTTGTTGTTGTTGTTGTTGTTGTTGTTGTTGTTGTTGTTGTTGTTGTTGTTGTTGTAGTAGTTGTTGTAGTTGTTGTAGTTGTTGTAGTTGTTGTAGTTGTTGTTGTTGTTGTTGTTGTTGTTGTTGTTGTTGTTGTTGTTGTTGTTGTTGTTCCTGTCACTGCTGCTGTTGTTCCTATTGCTGCTGCTGTTGCTGCTGGTGGTGCTGCTGCTGCCGTCCGCTGGCATCATTCTACTTGTAGTCTTTTGTATATTGCCAAGGAAAACATTCTGGGTACTTAGATATGCTTCAAGTACAGACATAATAATAATAATAATAATATTCGCGGGATCCGCGTCGGCATCGCTTGAATGTTCAGAAACACACAAACTAGCCTTCGCATCCGCAGGCCACCACTATGCCTGTTAACCTTAGTGGCGAATGCGGACCTCACAAGTGAGTCAGGGGAGAGGAGGTTAGTCTCTCAACCAATCGGGCGTGTAACGGCCCATAACCCTGTAAACTGCATCCTTGTTATTCTCACTCCGAGCTGTGAGTACCCAGTTGACCGTGGGTGTCGGCGCAGTTCAACATGCGTAAAAAGTCTTTTTACACGCTTCCTGCTACCAGCGCAGGTCTTGAACTCGGGACATCATGATTCGCAGGCAGGCCTGCAAACCAATCGGCCATATGCGTTGGCCTACAGGCATATCACATAGGGAATGCTAGGCAATTGATACCAGTTGTGAGCTGTATGCAGCGAGAGTTTGAAGGAGATTTACAATCCCAGCTTGAGGGTATACTAGTGGTCTTCACAGAGGTATAGTGGTGATTCACGGGCTTTTGTTTTTTGAAATGGGCTGCAGAGAGCTTTTCTCGCAAAGACCTTGACATAGGCAGGGCGGTACTTATCTCCTCTACTTCACTGCTTTGGCCTCCCAACCCAAACAAAGGGCCAAAGTCAGGTACCTCAACAGCAGGTGGGTAACTTGGTCAAAAAGCCACTTTTTACCCCCTCCCCCTCCCTTCAATAACCTTTTCAGCATAGAACAGGGTCGTAGCACTTGGATTTCAGGTGGTCCGGCCAAAAGGGTACTCAGTAACCAGAAATGGGTATTGTAACTATTGTTAACACAAAACACGTTTTTTAATTTATTGGATGGGTCAACACTTTTCGAAATATCTTCCGGCCATGGCCAAACAGACCAGATTGGGTGATAGGACCCTCTTTAACCTCTGCCTAATCCATGCTACAATGTCATCTTCTCCATGCTCGTACTGTACATAAGAAAGTCTCACAGAGTGCCTTGCTTGATCTGGGCGCCCCACATTGTGTCCGTTCTTCTCTTGTTCACCTGCAGTTCACAAGCGCTGTGCGGTGCCGAGAAAGGAATACTTCTTCGAAGTGTTCGTTTTCACAACACGGGCTGTGTCGGGATCGTGCACAAGCTCCACTCACAGGGGCCTGCGGCTGTGTAACTTCACGCTACACAGCGAGCCACTTGTCACAGATACCTATGCACAATGGCTGCTGGACTTCAATTCCAGCACTGGTGTGATGCAGCCATCCTGCTTCAATGGGATTAGGGAGCAAGATCGCGCGTTTGAATTTACGAGTAGAACGTTGCAGTACCAAGTTCTTCACAGCGTGATTGTGGCCGTTCGACGGCAGGCACCTCGGATACCAGTTCTGGCATTTCAGATGGTGTCACCACATGGTAATGTCTAATGACTGCGCATGTATTCCATGAGGTTGAAAGTGTTTGTGGCGTGGAAGAACTGCATTCATTTGTTGTCGAACCACAATCAATTTTTTTAATAAAGAGCTAAAATGGGGATTGATTCCCATTTCTCCTTGTGGGGGCTGCCATATGTTTAAAAAAAAGAAGATGGGATGTATATTGACCCAGAGATGCCGTCGGTAGATTAATACATACATGTATAGAATCCTCATAATTCGAACCGCAAACTGCCGGGGTGGGGAGGAGGAGGAGGAGGGATTCGATTTATCCGGTTATTCTAATCTTCCAATATTGACCCACAATACAACACATGATGTACTGGTTCGTCAAAATGTTCGCGTTGTCGATTTATTGCACCAAGTGGCGATATGCACTATAGTCTATAAACCAGACTGTAGATACAGTAAAACCTGTAACTAAAGACCACCTTGACTAGCCACCAGCCTGGTACTACAGACCACCGTGACTAGCGACCAGCCTGGTACTACAGACCACCGTGACTAGCGACCAGCCTGGTACTACAGACCACCGTGACTAGCGACCAGCCTGGTACTACAGACCACCGTGACTAGCGACCAGCCTGCTACTACAGACCACCGTGACTAGCAACCAGCCTGGTACTACAGACCACCGTGACTAGCGACCAGCCTGGTACTACAGACCACCTTGACTAGCGACCAGCCTGGTACTACAGACCACCGTGACTAGCGACCAGCCTGGTACTACAGACCACCTTGACTAGCGACCAGCCTGGTACTACAGACCACCGTGACTAGCGACCAGCCTGGTACTACAGACCACCGTGACTAGCGACCAGCCTGCTACTACAGACCACCGTGACTAGCAACCAGCCTGGTACTACAGACCACCGTGACTAGCGACCAGCCTGGTACTACAGACCACCGTGACTAGCGACCAGCCTGGTACTACAGACCACCGTGACTAGCGACCAGCCTGGTACTACAGACCACCGTGACTAGCGACCAGCCTGGTACTACAGACCACCGTGACTAGCGACCAGCCTGGTACTACAGACCACCGTGACTAGCGACCAGCCTGCTACTACAGACCACCGTGACTAGCAACCAGCCTGGTACTACAGACCACCGTGACTAGCGACCAGCCTGGTACTACAGACCACCGTGACTAGCAACCAGCCTGGTGCTACAGACCACCGTGACTAGCGACCAGCCTGGTGCTACAGACCACCGTGACTAGCGACCAGCCTGGTACTACAGGCCACCGTGACTAGCGACCAGCCTGGTACTACAGACCACCGTGACTAGCGACCAGCCTGGTACTACAGGCCACCGTGACTAGCGACCAGCCTGGTACTACAGACCACCGTGACTAGCGACCAGCCTGGTACTACAGACCACCGTGACTAGCGACCAGCCTGCTACTACAGACCACCGTGACTAGCAACCAGCCTGGTACTACAGACCACCGTGACTAGCAACCAGCCTGGTACTACAGACCACCGTGACTAGCAACCAGCCTGGTACTACAGACCACCGTGACTAGCGACCAGCCTGGTGCTACAGACCACCGTGACTAGCGACCAGCCTGGTACTACAGGCCACCGTGACTAGCGACCAGCCTGGTACTACAGACCACCATGACTAGCGACCAGCCTGGTACTACAGGCCACCGTGACTAGCGACCAGCCTGGTGCTACAGACCACCGTGACTAGCGACCAGCCTGGTACTACAGGCCACCGTGACTAGCGACCAGCCTGGTACTACAGACCACCGTGACTAGCGACCAGCCTGGTACTACAGGCCACCGTGACTAGCGACCAGCCTGGTACTACAGACCACCGTGACTAGCGACCAGCCTGGTACTACAGGCCACCGTGACTAGCGACCAGCCTGGTGCTACAGACCACCGTGACTAGCGACCAGCCTGGTACTACAGACCACCGTGACTAGCGACCAGCCTGGTACTACAGACCACCGTGACTAGCGACCAGCCTGGTGCTACAGACCACCGTGACTAGCAACCAGCCTGGTACTACAGGCCACCGTGACTAGCGACCAGCCTGGTACTACAGACCACCGTGACTAGCGACCAGCCTGGTACTACAGACCACCGTGACTAGCGACCAGCCTGGTACTACAGGCCACCGTGACTAGCGACCAGCCTGGTACTACAGACCACCGTGACTAGCGACCAGCCTGGTACTACAGGCCACCGTGACTAGCGACCGGCCTGGTGCTACAGACCACCGTGACTAGCAACCAGCCTGGTGCTACAGACCACCGTGACTAGCGACCAGCCTGGTACTACAATCCACCGTGACTAGCGACCAGCCTGGTACTACAGGCCACCGTGACTAGCGACCAGCCTGGTACTACAGACCACCGTGACTAGCGACCAGCCTGGTACTACAGGCCACCGTGACTAGCGACCAGCCTGGTACTACAGACCACCGTGACTAGCGACCAGCCTGGTACTACAGGCCACGGTGACTAGCGACCGGCCTGGTGCTACAGACCACCATGACTAGCAACCACCCTGGTGCTACAGACCACCGTGACTAGCGACCAGCCTGGTACTACAGACCACCGTGACTAGCGACCAGCCTGCTACTACAGACCACCGTGACTAGCGACCAGCCTGGTACTACAGACCACTTCGCCAGGCACGGACCTTCTCACATTCATACATGGTTGTGCGGTGCAAACCTCTAACTAAGGACCACCTGCCACTAAAGACCGCTTTCTCCGGCCCCAACGGGTGGTCTTTAGTCACAGGTTTTACTGTATAGATTTCACGCACTCTGACCTGGCCAGCACATCCTGCTCCTGCACACTGAACAGTACAGTGCACAGTGAACTTTGAATCACACCTTGCTAACTTCGTCATGAATCCTACACCTGCCCAGTTTGAGGTTCATATTAACAGACAGTGTTATGTGGGAACGGTATTGACCAGGGACCTTCGCTTGAGGCCGGCAATGCTCTCACCACTGAGCTATGGTGTAGCTGTCATCCCTGCAGAGACCGCTCAAAACACTCTTCAGAGTTCTGAAGAAATTTAGTTCGAAACTGTGTGTTTCAAATAGGCCATATCCAAGCCATCGGCAACTATCACCAAATGCCGGGGAAAGTAGCACACTGACTTGTAGTCACAGGTCATTTCATTCTGCATGTATTAGGACAAACTTCAAAAGCAGTATTGATTACTTTCACTGGCCGCATTTTGCTCGTTATGGCAACATTGTATTCGCTCTGGTGCCATTGTGATTTGTGCAATGTTTGTCTAATCTGATAGAATTACACTACCGCTGTCATGGAAACCGCACTAACCCAGCTGAGCGTGGACTGAACGGCGCGCACACAATTCTCCGTGGCTATGGCAATGTAACACTGCGAGAGGGCCGCAGCCAGATTGTCCGCTTCTTCCTGGACCTGTCACCGTCCGAAGGCTGCAACCTGACCGGGGACATGGTGCGCGTGTATCGCGATGACTACCTTCTGTCTGCAGTGGCAGACGGCGTTCGCGTGGACATGCATCCCGTACTTGGAGACTACCGCTACGAGATTCAGATTGATTTCCATATGCCGATTCTGAGCCTGACGGCAGGCCAGTATGTTCTGGCGTTGTACATCGCCGAGCAGCACAGCTGGGGAACGCATCAGTGGCCTATTGAGCAGACACTGTTACACGAGTTCACTGTGCAAGTCCTTGCACAGGACCATCCAGGTAAGGCAAACAACTCTGCTTTAATAAAATAACCCTGATGCACATTGACATCACGTACGACATCCCGTAGAATCCCGTAGACCCAGTTGGGCATTGAATGTACAGGACCCTATTGTGTTATCTATACAGGTGGATTCCTGATAATTCGAATATGGCTTAATTCAACCGGTTAATTAAAAGTCCCACGGATTCCACTTACATAGAAAATGTGTGGGATTTGTGCTGATAATTCGAAGTTAGCACCGTGTAGTAGGCTTTATGCACGTTGTACAGATGCACGAAATCCCGTAGAATCTCGTAGAATCTTGTAGAATCCCGTAGACCCGGTTGGGTGTTGAATGTGCAGTAGCCTATGGTGTTTACTGCTATTTCCACTATGAAATGGGCCCCGAAGGCATTTCATAGTAAAGCCTTTTCCGGCAGAGATCTAGCTAGTCGTTAGTTCAATCCCAAAGTGAAGAAGCTGGAAAAGCGATTGTTTGCCATGAATTATGAGGCTAACTGGGTCAAACGCGCATGTATAGCACACAATGAACACCCCAGGGCCTGCTGGAGAGCCGGGTCAGCCGGGTCACGCGCCCGGCTGGGGAACTGCACGACCTGGCTGAACAGATAACACCGGGTCCAGTCTGACCCGGCTGAAAAATGTCTCAAACTGACAATGGATTCCTAAAATACCGGTATTTTACGACGCGCGGACCCCATCTGTTGCAAATCTAGCGCAACTGTACACACTACAGTCAAGCGACAGAAACTCGGCTAGGGTCAACTGGGGTCAACTGGGGTCAACTGGTTCGAGCGCGGCGAGCCAGCGGCGAGCAGGAAGTCAGGACATTCAAAGTCGATGGGGCAGGCAGTCAGAAGCGTAACTTTGGCTATAGCTTTTGACACAGTTGCAAGTTTTCAGCCGACTGGTGATTTGGACGATGGAGACCGCAGCGAAGAGAAAAAGAACTCACGCTTTCCAAAACTCTTGGAAGAAAGGTCGACCCTGGCTGAAGCTTGTGAAGACGGTGATGCGGAACTCGCTGTCGACGAGGAATCTGGAGATGATCATGGCAATCAAGCTCGACGTTCCTGCCGTCGCCGACTTCAATTACGACAAGGCTATGGCTGCATGGCATTCTGAGGTGACTCGGGACAGTACGACTGCAACGTCAACCTCTTCTGAACGGCGGGACCTGGCCCGCACACCCAGAGCAGCAACGCCAGCAGCATCAGCAGCAACAACAGCGCCATCAGCAACAGCAGCGCCAGCAGCAGCTGCAGCGCCAGCAGCGCCAGCAGCAGGAGCAGCAGCAGCAGCAGCAGCAGCAGCAGTTGCAACTCCACCAGTTCTCCAGTTTGCTGAAGCGTTTCAGCAGATGGTGCAGCAGATGCCAGTCGGCTCGGCCATGCAGGTGATGCGGTGGCAGCCAGCAGCCACTCCACAAGGTGCTGCAGCCCCACCCCCAGTGCTCTATTATGTGAACATGTTCGTCCTGCTACTAGCACTACTTGTATAATATTATAAATTAGAAAACAGAATTCCTTTTTTTCAAATTGTTAAATCAGAATCCAATGGAACTGCTTTGCATTCTTCACGTAATGTCGTTTACCTTCTACACTGTACGTTTGCGGACTTTGATAGTTCGCCTTGTTCTCTAAAATTTCCGATTTCCGGTAATAAATTCGCCTTTCTGTTTTCCTGCGTTTTGAGCAGGCTTTTTGGTTGTTTTTCTGTCGGATGATATGACACGGCTTGACCCGGCTGGCCTGCATGCGCCAGGTACACTCTGACCGGGCTGTGTTGAATGTCTAGAGCACGCCCTGCACCCAACCATGCATAGCACACAATGAACACCCAGCCATGTATAGCACACAATGGACACCCAACCGGGTATGTACACACCTATGGCCCTACAGTCCATTCATCGGAAACTGGCCCGCTGGCTTTTGAAAGTCGGATTTGGGCCGAATTGAGGATCAAAAACCCACTTTAAATCTAAAAAATCTGGGTTTTGGATCTGCTTCTCCATACATTTTGCCATGGCATACCTGTCCTAATTTTGTAAAACCTGGCTGAATTTCTATTTCCCTGTTCTTGGACTTTTCTGGCCTCGAATGTGGCAAGGAGTAATTGCACGGGTCACACAATGCAGGATGTACTGTTGTTTTCACGATATCTACAACTATGTGAGAGAGACACCAAAAAGTTAGGATGCCAGTTTCCAATGAATGGACTGTAGTACAGAACTTCATACATCTGTGCGACGTGCATAAGGACCATTCGAAGTTCACTGTACACTGTACTGGTCAGTTCAGTTTGCATGAGCAGGCTGTGCCGGTCAGTTCAGTGCCTGTGAAATCTGTGTATTATTATTATTCAAATAATCTACGTGGAGATAAAAGTTTAATAATAGCTATGAAAAGTATGAATGCCGCAGACATCACCACGCAACATGACAATTTGTTCAAGGTTTGGTTTTGTGTGTTTCCAAAATCGATTTTCACGCTCCCATCATCAGTGGAAATACGGAACTAAAGAGATCAAGGGAAAAACAAAGGTTAAAAATCCAAAGAAGTGTGACACATGACGGGTAACTTGTGGTAAGTATTACAAAAAGTGAGAACTAAAATAAAGAGTAAGTGTGACAACCGGGCATGAACAGTGCAGAAACAACTCATGAACACGGGGTGCAAACTCACGAAAATAACCTAAGTGCTAAAACATGTTCTTTTTGCTTAGGATTCTACCTGCATTTTCGACTGCGAAATGTTCCCTTCAGGCATTTCATGCAACAACTTATTTCGTCAACTTTTTCGGACGAAGATCTAGCTAGTCATCAGCTCTATCCAAACTGAAGAAGCTGGAAAAGCGACTGTCTGCCACTAAGTGTTGGGCTAAACTGGTCAAATATGCATGTATAGCACACAATGAACACCCAACCGTGCATGGACACACCGACGGGAATTCGTACATTTGTACGAGATAATGTTATGTGCATAAGAACTAGGACTGCTGAGTTGAGTAGCATTTTCTTCGGGTATCGGGTCCGGGTAGTTTTCCACGGGTAGTACTGGTACCCGATCGGGCCCCCTCCTTTGCATTGGCTTCTGCCATTGGACGGTGAAATAAAATAAAATAAAATAAATAATGTTTCCATGGTAGCATCACAATTCACCCCTTCCCTTACACACTGGGTAGGCATGCGGAGTATTACATAAATGTGTACACGTGCACTGTACATGATGTCATCTGCGACTTTGGGTTTTCGGGTACTATTCTGTACCCGTTCTACCCGAGGTCCTCACGGGTAGCACGGGTACCCGACTACCCGTGCACACCACTAATAAGAACTATACATGTCAAGTCAAGTCTGAAGTGGAAACTGGATACTGTAAGTCATCAAATACTCGGCGCATATTTATTTTCGGCTATTTTCAACCTGGTCATATTGGGCTGAACATTTGTTGCCGCCGAAATTTTGTTTTGCAAGGTTCAGTGTGACAGTGAATACAGGCAGCAACAGTACAGGCCGAAAATCTTAACGCGGATGAAATGTGCTTTAGTCCTGGGAGGCCGAAATTTGAATGGGCCGAAAATTTGTAGACGCATAGTAGTAGGCAAGCTGATATGAACTTCGTTGAGTATTTGCCATAAAGTCACGGAGCAAAATGGTTGAAAATAGGAAAATAGTGCCAACAGCTTTGGCAACAGTTTTGCTAAATGCTGTGCCCATGCATACTTGATACGTTGAAGCTGCAGTCAAGGCTAATCTACAAGGTAGTGATGATGAAAAGATCACTGGGGCCCATGCTGGTGTGCGGCGTTCACGCGCCATGCATATTGCTGATGTTGGGTCACTTCCACAAGTGCGTCCAAGTAGCAGATGTGACGCTTTGACGGTGGAGGTGATGTTAAAAGGGCTAGCCTTTTCAAAACATCACCTCCACCATGCATCGAAGCGCCACATCTACCACAGCTGTGCTGTGCCCTGTCAATTGTGACCTTATGTCCTGGTATGCGGTGAACACGGTTGTGGCAAATGGCGCTTTTTTACAGCCAGGAGCACAAGTGCTGAAGCCCCATTTGCCACAGCCTTTCACTATAAATTACTATGATTACAAGATACAATGGTATGTGATGAATAGTACTATTTCTGAGGACTCTGCGCTATCCCACTACAGTCTTTTCACCTTGCATGTTCAGTACTTCGGATACAAAATGAAAATTTTTGGTGCCCTTGGAGGTATGTTGAAAATTCGTTGTACTTGAAATATCCTGGCCGATAGCCTCCAAAATGAAATGGGACTAAAATAATTCGACTTCATGTCTGGTAGGCTACTGGTATTGAAGTTTCTTTTCAAGATTTTAGGCTGCCGCAATTCTTGTATTTATACACGTATGCTAACTGGCTTTAGAGTAAAAGGTATTGTGAACAGGCAGTCAGGCGATGGAACACATGCTGATTCAGACCTATCAACGGGCTTGTGATCCCATGCAGCTTATCAGCAGACAAGTTCCACCACCGCCGCCACTCCCATCACCCCCGCCGTCACCACCACGGAACTTATCACGAGCCCACTGCCAGTATCAACCATCCAGGATACAGCAGGTCACAGTATTCCTACGCGGGGTGCTACTCCGTCCAGAGTGGCCACGTGGCGTCCAAGCACACCTTCCAGCGCTGGGTCAAGTGTGCTGAGCGTGAATACCGTATTGCCGTCCAGTCCCGTCAGTGTACAGCGCTCTCAATCCACTGACAAGGCTGATAGTATTGTTCACTATACACATTCCGGTCCTAGGAGAAATAGCACACCACCACACGAAGACACGTCAGCAACCACATCCGAAATCGAGTTGCAGACCCAGGCCAATAGAACACAACTGGAGCGAAGCCACATCTATACCATAGCTGGCAGTGGTCTGTTGCTTCTCATCATCATCTTCATAGTGCTAGGGTGTTATTTACGTCACTCATGGTGCAGATCACGAACTCTATTTGCCGGCAAGATGCGCTGCAGAGGGAAAACATTTGTGAAACGACCAGGTAAGCAAGGGAAATTTCAAATCTCTTTTTCGCAAATACCTAATGATGTTCAGAAAACATATTTTGGTTGTGGACAGGTGGTCTTTATCCATGGGCAGGCTGAAATATAGATCTACTATGAGACATGACTTGCTGGCAGCCTGGGAGATAACCAGTCCTTAACAACAAGACTTAGTTATTCTCACCGAGGTGCTTGCTTTCATAGATTGAACCATGCGGCATATGTAGGATGTGTGTGCATGTGCTTCTGCGATTTCATCATCCCGAGCTCCAAAGATGTGCGTGCACATGTACATGTATGCATACCTGCCCGTTGAATTGGTCGTGTGTACAACATGGGAAACCTCACTCCAGCACGTCATGCTATGCTTTGACCAACACACACAAGCATGCGCACACCTGTACCGGTACTTGTACAGGCGCGTGCCCCGTATGGGTTCCTGGGTGCCCGGAACCCCCCCCCCCCCCTTCGCTCAAAATGCAGGATTTTGCTTCCTTTTTTGAAAATTTTCCCGGGGAGGCCCCCGACCCCCCCCCCCCCCTTGAAGGGCACCGGCGCACGCGCCTGCTTGTGCATCTGCTCTACTATCAATGCCCATGCGGACTGCTTCTCCTAACAGAATACTTCGAAGTAAAAAAATGTCCTTGAATACAAAGCGGTCAGAAGAACCGGTGTGTACCGTGCTTCGAAGTAGTATAAAATTAGTAAGCCCACCATTCTCATGCCATTTACCTGACAGTCCTTGTATTTGTATTTGTATTTATTTATTTTAAGGATTCCCCAAAGGCTGTTTGCCTGTCGAGGGGGTTTCCTGTGTTGTAAATGTTCTGTTCTCTGGTGTGTGATATTCCACTGTGCATTGCTGTTGCTCTAGATGGTCTGCCATTGCCACCGCAGCAATCGGCGACTATGCTACTCAACCAACCGCCTTCCACAACATCAGACGGTCCTCTCTATGCGGAATGCCAGGGTCACTCAATGCC